ACCAAACCCTTAGGCAGATTTGACACTGAGAAATCTGTGTCAGCTCAACGTGTTTTGTCTGTGTGAGTAGACAAAAAAACTCACAGTTTCCAAGAGCTTAGAATGTTACAGCAGTAATGTGGCACCACTGACCTAACTTTTTTAATGCAAGGAAAAAGCCTTTCTTAAAAAATAAAGCTATCTTTGGGATGCTATAAAACCTTTAACCTCTTAATTGAATAATCTTTTCAGCCCTTGTTATGGATGAGTGTAAGTGAATAAAGTGAGCCTTTACTGCAGGTTTTTAAACAACTCTCAGGTCAACGATGATTGACCCAGATGACCCCCACAGCAGAATGGATCAGCAGTTTACATCACTATGATGACCTTTTAGTGCTTTCATTTGAAACAGTGAATTAAATGCCTGAAACGACTGCCCATTATTCGAAATCAAGAAGCCTTTCGGGGGAATTAAAGCATCTGCTAAGAAACAAAAAAAAGGAAGTTCAGTTGCAGTCTGCTTGAGTACCTGGATTAGCGAGGCCTAAATGTAGCAGAACATGTAAGACAAAAGAAGACAGAATGCAAAGGAACCTGATTCTTGTTTTATTTTCCATCATGAAACCTGTCCTTTTTTGTAGTAGTTGTAATTTAGCCATCAAAAGTCTGTTAGAAGTGAGTTACTGATCTAAAATGTGGTTGAAAATAGCAAAGGTTTATTTCATAATAAACCGTATGATAGATTTTAGATGTAAGACAATACCCAGGTGTTTTCAAAAGATCCCCAGTCACTGTTATTCAAGAATGATATAATTTCCTTTTTGGAAAACAGGGATGGTTTTATATTTACTTGTTCTGCAAAAGTTGTTAGCAGGCGCAGTGCTATGTAAAGGTATACCCCTCACCCTTTTCATAATCTAGGCATATTTATCACTGAACCAGGATGATAGAAATTTAATGTTAACATGGTGATTTAATTTACTATGGCCAACAAGCTATTCAGACCTATCTGGACATATGTGGGGGGAAAAAATATATTCTTGAAATTCTAACTAGATGTTCCAGCTTTTGGTGAAAATGACTACCCCTAAGTAGTGTAGTCTTTAAGTCTTTTCCATCAGAGATCGTGTTTTTGCATGTTTTTTAAAGCCACAGTGAAGCGCTTCTCAATAATCCATGCTAAAATCACACTACAGAATCTCAATTGTAAGTAAATCCTGAGCCAAAAAAAGCTCAAATTCAAATTATTCAACTCAATAATTACATTTCCATTCTTTAATTCATTCAGGGGATGGATTTCGTTGGATAATTGTCAATAACCTACGTGTGTGCTGTAGCTTAAGACATTCTTTTGGTGGATTTTCTGGTTCTCTGTTTACGTCAAGTTGTTCAGGTCCTAAAGATGCAAAGCAGCCCTGGAGCGTCACACTACTGCCCTTGTTTCTGGATGCCATTATTTTTCTAAAATGCTGTGTTAGATTTACACCAGATTTAAAGAGAACCACACCTCTTAAAGGTTTCTCTTTTGTTTTTTCAATGCTTGGAAATGTCCTTTAATGTTTTGGGGATCCTCTAATAGCTTCTGGGAAATGTGAGACAGTTATTTCTGTTGCCAGTCGTTTTGACCCTGAAACTCTCTCACAGATACCAGTTTTGATCAGATTCTTCCTTGCTGTTAAATCATGAAAACTGACCTAAACTGAAGCATCTCATGCCGCCTGCAGAGCTTTAGATGTCTTTCTTGAATAATTGGCAAAAATCAGTTTTGATTATTAATTATTCTGCATACAATCAAGGGGTTGACTTTGTTACTGTCAATTCACTCTTGGGGCAAATATGGTATCCAACCACTCACCACTGCTGCCCACTGAATGGCTTTGTAACTCTTTCCAGGGTCATAGAAATCTGTTCATGTTTTTGTCTCGGTTGGGGTTTTCAGCACAGCCGTTTGAAGATTTTAGACTATTTTCATATTGTCAGATAGGTTCTGCTGCTGCTTGATTCTACATGTAAAATTAAATTTGATGAGAATGTGTTTACAGAATTTTCAAAGCTAATAATTCTGGGTTGTCTCTACTAACCCAAATTCACTTTTCAACCCTTTCAGTCACCAGGACTTACGGGACACAGATTTTCCTTGTCCCACTGGTTGTGCTCAGACAAAATAATTCAAAACATGGCATTAACTATAAATCATCAAAAATCAAGATAGAAAAACTTTGTATTTTCAACTGTGATGTAAATGTAAACCACTAGTTTAAACAGTAAATGTGTGGTGGAGTAAGAGTCAAGACTGCATTATCAAGTAGATCTAAATAGTTAAACCTTTAACTAAAAATGCATCTTTGTATCGCTGCTCTAATGATCCAAAACCAGCAGGTGGCAATATACAGAGATCTAAGTCCAAAGTCCCATTTGAAAGATTCTGGAATAATGTTATGGAGCAAAAGGAGCTGTGTTCACACTTCAGTAGCTGATAGATCAGAACGTTGGTTTTATAAGATATGCTAGGGCTGTCAGGACATCTTTAAAAAAGCATCTGTTTAAAATAAATAAATGGGAGTTAGTGTGAACAGGCCAGAGGAGTTGATACGTTAAATTCCCCACTTTAAAATCCAGAATCCAGGAGAGGAAATAGAGATTTAATTATCCTTTAATTATCATGGATGGATGGATGGATGGATGGATGGATGGATGGATGGATGGATGGATGGATGGATGGATGGATGGATGGATGGATGGATGGATGGATGGATGGAGGTTTTTTTTATATAACACTGGCTTTGACATAGACAACATGATCTCAGCTGTTTTCTGGAAGGAAAAGTTTTTCCATAAGTAATTTCTACTCAAATCATTGAGCCCTGGTAGAACCAAGAGGCCCATGGTAACCCTGCAGGAGCTGCAGAGATGCATAGGAATTTTTTTTTTTCTAATTCTGCAAGACAGAAGCAAAAAGAAAGCAGTGTTTTAAAGACCTGGATTGTGCAAATAGTAAGGTTATTATTAGCAGAAAGACACAACACTCCATTAGCTATGTAAAAAAAAAAAAAAGAATTTGCTACTGCCAGCACAGGTTCTGAGGGTTTGAAAGCTTTTCTGATAAATAACTACTAAAATACTCAAAAATCCAAAATTAATTATCTCCAAGGACATAAAATAGAAATGTGAGGGCTTTTTAAGGGCCTCTTTATCCTTAACTTAAATAAAATAAATAAGTTGTAGAAATAAACAAATTGATCGCAGATATTAATCTAAAATATGTCCTAAATATATCCTAAAGCAAATGAACTGAAGACAGAAAGCAGTGAAAACAGTATCAGATTAAAAACAAAAATGCCTTAAAACTAAGACTCATACAGATTTTGGTCCATAAATCCAAATGAAGAGTAGGCCTACTTCTATTAAGTTTAGTACAAACTAAACAAAGTTGGTAGCATGTGGGTTTATGCACAAATAAGTATCATTTTCAATTACTTAATTTTGTTTAAGGTTCAAAAAAACTGTTGCCATCAAAGAAAAGCATATACCTGTTATGCTGGTGAAGATTATTCCAAAAGAAATTAAAAAACAATCCACTGGACTTTGTCTCCAAGTTTGAAGACGTTTCGCTTACCATCCAGGAAGCTCTTTTAATTCAAAACATCAGAATTAGCAGTGAGTTCGCAGCTTTGTATAGCAGCTTTATAGAGTAGCTTGTTGGAGTAGATCAAAATTATCTGCATATCTGTTATCTTAAGCTTTAATTACAGAAAAAAGTCTTATTGGTCTTTATCAAAGCAAATCACGTGACAGATACGTTGTTATGTTAGATTCAGAATTTCTTGATTAAAAAATATTCATGGATTTATACTTGGATATTTATGTAATTTAAAAAAATTTGCACCTTAAATTTATTTTAATAAAAAGGCAATGCGTTGTGATACTGAGAGCAGCCACACGGTGTCGCCCTTTATCAGAATTTAAAGTGGATGGAAAGGAACCTGCTGTTACGCGTTTTGTTCCTCGCAGTTTGAGGCATTAATTCCCAGCACACATTTCATTTCCTTTTGCTTCTCATTTTATCCATTTAGCGAAGCTTTTTTTTTTTCATAAGGGGGGGCCCTCACACGCCGATGTCAGATAATACATGAGGCTCAGGTGCTGCCAGGGAGCCTTGAGGCTGTCCAATCAGCGAACAGCGTGGCCCCTCTCTCCGCCCAGTCGACCAATCACAGAAGTGAGGCGTCCCAGTTCCTGCTCTTATAAAAGCGACTCACTCCGTAGTGAAGGTACCGGAGAATGAGAGAGATACTAAAGAACCATCATCGAACCCCACATTGGACCTGCCAGTCCTTTAGTTTTTATTTCAATTTTCTTCTTTCTCCAGGTAACTTCTAACCTCAGTTTCTCTTATTTGATTGTGTTGCTTTTTATTATTGTTAACTTGGTCAAATGGGGAAAGTATAACTATTAGTGACAATGTTGCATGTATTAAGGATTTTATTTATTTATTTTACTAATTTAACGTGGTGTTAATGAGGTTTGCTTTGACCCTTTATACTTTTGAGGTATGGTTAAAAATTGGGTGTAGTATTTATTTCAAAGGAGGAAGAGGATGATGTAATCCTGCCACTCTGTTGTAAACAATAGATACCATGGTGAACAACAACAAGATGTAGAGCAGGAATGAGTTTAGTCAAAATGTGTTGGGTTTTTTAAGCGAGTCATCTGTTTTGCGCTGGTCTTCCTTCTCTTATTCTATTAGTCAGCATCTCTGCCGGAAAGGAGTCTTTTGTCAGCGAAGCGGAGAAAGGGAGAGAAAACTGGAAATGTGTCTTTTTTTTCCTTCCACATCCTCAACATGTTTTTCAACTCCCCCACCTCCCCTCCCCTTCTAGAATACCAAAATAACAATGGTGCTGCTTTCTGCACCCCCGATGCCCAGCTTGTTACGCAACATGTGATCTGTCTCTGCTCCCCATCTCATATATTTACTCTCCTCTCCTCTCACTTTCAGGTGTGTTATAGTATCAGTCAAGATGGCCACGTCTGCCAGTGCCAGCTTGAGTAAAACCATCAAGCAGCAGTACATGGAGCTCCCCCAAGGGGATAAAGTCCAAGCCATGTACATCTGGGTTGATGGAACAGGAGAGGGTCTCCGTTGCAAAACAAGAACTCTTGATTTTGAACCCAAAAGCATCGAAGGTGAGCTTTATTCTCCAGAATTGCCTGAATCAACTGTACGCAGTGAACCCTGTGACCCCAATCAAAGTCTGAGGAGTGTTAATGGCCACTTTCCTTATTGCAGATCTCCCTGAGTGGAACTTTGACGGCTCTAGCACCTACCAGGCAGAGGGCTCCAACAGTGACATGTATCTGATTCCTGCTGCCATGTTTCGTGATCCATTCCGTAAAGACCCTAACAAGCTGGTGCTGTGTGAAGTCCAGAAGTACAACCGAAAACCTGCTGGTTAGTAGACCATAATAATCAAGATATTAGTTAATCATTAAAGGAAAAAAAGCTACACATATGTTAAAAGGATCCAATATGAAAAATGCTCTGTGTAAGTTACATTAGCTAATTTAATGTGCTTTCTACAGAAACCAACCTTCGCATCACGTGTAAGAAGGTGATGGATATGGTGGCAGACCAGCATCCCTGGTTTGGTATGGAGCAGGAGTACACCATCCTGGGCACAGACGGACATCCTTTCGGCTGGCCATCTAATGGTTTTCCTGGACCTCAAGGTGAGCAGCTGAACTTATTAATTACTCTTCTTATCCCTTCATGACATGCGGCATTGTTAAGTTTTTATTTTAAACTATACCTTTGTAGGTCCATATTACTGTGGAGTCGGAGCTGACAAAGCCTATGGCAGAGATATCGTAGAGGCTCATTACAGAGCATGTTTGTATGCTGGAGTCAACATCGGTGGAACAAATGCAGAAGTGATGCCTGCCCAGGTAATGATATGATCCAGATGTGTGCTTTGGTTTCCCTTTTTGCAATGTATTGATGAACCATTTTTTGGTGTTTCAGTGGGAGTTTCAGATTGGACCGTGTGAGGGGATTGACATGGGGGATCATCTGTGGGCAGCACGTTTTATTTTGCACCGTGTCTGTGAAGATTTTGGTGTGGTGGCCTCATTCGACCCCAAACCCATCCCAGGAAACTGGAATGGTGCAGGCTGCCACACAAACTTCAGCACAAAAGAGATGAGGGAAGACGGTGGACTGAAGTGAGTAGGAACTGCTTATTTACGAGAAATTGTGACTTTTTTTCTTTTATCAAACCTTTGTGACACTTCTCTCTTTTTGCTTCTGCTTCCAGGGTTATCGAAGATGCCATTGAGAAGCTTGGAAAGAGACACGAGTATCATATACGTGCCTACGATCCAAAAGGGGGTCTCGACAATGCCCGTCGCCTCACTGGACGCCACGAAACATCAAACATTCATGAATTCTCAGCCGGGGTGGCCAACCGCGGCGCTAGCATCCGCATTCCTCGTAGCGTTGGGCAGGAGAAGAAAGGCTACTTTGAGGACCGGCGCCCATCAGCCAACTGCGATCCGTACGGTGTGACCGAAGCTCTGATCCGCACTTGTCTGCTGAATGAGGAGGGAGAGGAACCAGCAGATTACTAAAAAGCTCCAAGACTGACTTTTACCGCCCTCCCAAATTTCTTAAAAAAAATAAACTAGTACTGTATTTTATTTCTCCCACTAAGTTGGTTTTTTAACATACAAAGTTGGCTGGTCAACTTGAAACAAGGTAATGAGATACTTGGTAGTTATGAGCTGGTGAAGTCAGGGTATGCTTTTCCTTGTGTCGTTAAACAGGGATTGGCTTTTGTAACACTGTTCTTAGCCCACGCCATATCATTCCCTCTTTGTCTGTCTGGAACTAAAACAAACTAAAGCACCAGGATATTGCAGAGTAGGGCTGCTAAGGCTGGACAACATGTGTAAAGTAATAAATGTGACTAGTTCTTGTACTGTTAATATGTGTTAACCTGACTACCCAGTCCTCAGTGTTACTAATGCTCTCATTTTATGAAGTGTCTGTTTTTTAATGATGTTTGTCCTGAGATTCTGGCACATTTTGGTCAACTTGTATGGTACACTTGTAGATGTCCCAGACATAAGTTGGTGGATCTTTCCATAATGCCATTTGTAGAGTTTCCTCAAGGAGTTTTATCCTTTTGTTAACTGCGATATATTGTAATGCGCTTGATTTGGTAAAACATAAATTTTACTGAACCTGGTGATTTTTATTGAAACATTTAAAACATTTATTTTTATCACAAATACGTGTCTGTGACTCTTGTATTAAACTACTTTTTTTGCTTAAATTGGTTAAATTAGGCTGACGGACAACTTCTTTCATTCAAAGCTAAACAGTAGCCTTCCAAACTCAGCCACGCTTGTTTAATGGCTAGGTTTTAATTAGAACTGATTAAATATCCTTTTTGTTAAGAATGATAACAATAAGGAACACAGAGGTTTCTAGTTGGTATCCAGAGAGGTCCAGGCTCATCTGTAGCTTCTGCTCCCATCTGCCAAAGCTGTTTAAACATCTGGTGCTGCAGGATTTTACAGTAAACCAAACACAGAGTAGTAAGATGCATTTTGCCTAAAGGTAGTGACTAAAGTTTAACAGGCTGTGCTTTTTCTCACCAACAGCTCAACCCAGACTTGTTCTTACGGTTGTTTTCTCAATTCAGTGGGTAGAAACTAGACCATGGGGCCCTCATGTGAAAGTTATTCAGCTCTTTCAGTGCAACAGCCTGAGGACAGTAGTCTAGTCTCCTCTGCCAAACTCCTGCACAGCAAGAATAATTGTTATGTCTGATACCATCACCTATTTTGTCTGTCTCTGGGCTCCAGGTGATTAATTCATCAGGTAATACAGAAGCAAAACTAAAACAAGGTTTTTCTTGTCTGGGTACTCGGTGTTCTTGCATTCACTAGTTAACTTTGGATTCTGGTGAGAACTCTTTGGTCTTTTGCTGAGAACATAAACATGTATTTCTAATGTGCTCTCCCTTCTTGGGGGAAGGGCCACTGAGTTTGTTTATGAGACCTTTCACCTACATTCCAGTGGCTTCACACCAGCATTGTTCATCAGTGCACTGATTGGCTTCCCTTGGAACAAGTTAACCAATCCTAAAGTAAAGGACAGGTTTAGTCCTGTGTAAGGGATAACAGCTGGACTACAGCCAAAGAGTGTTCTCTGGATTTGTTTGGTTCTCCAAATCATAACCCTCATTCTAACCGGCACCTGTTCCGGCTTTGCTGAAATCCCAGACTAGCAGGTGAAATTTGCACGCATATGCCTGAAACACAGGCATTGCGAAATAAATTGCTGTTTTGAAGTGAAGGCTCATAAAAGTGGGAATGGTTGACTTGAAAAAAAATGTTAAACCAAAATTAGGATTCTAAAATAAGATTATATATGTATCAGACACATCACGCTTCTAGGTTTGATCCCCTTTTTTCACCTTCAGCACTTTACTATTTGCTGTACTGATTCAAAAATTTGTCAATGGATACAGAGATGAGTTAAAGCATCTTGTAATTGCTTCATTCATTTTAGATGAACATCCATGATGCAAATCCTGGATAATACCAAATCTCCATCAAGAAGACCCTCTATTAGATTGGATGGCTGTGGCCATTGGGATATGCTGGACTCTTGAAAACAAACCGGTTGATCTGAGTTATGCGACATCCTGCAATATCCTGTTGGATGTAGCTCCTCATATCAGAAGCATTTAAACAATATCCAGTTGGTACAAAGGGACAAGGCATATGTTATCATCAACCTCAACCATGACTTTATGTTATTTATGTCATAGACTTCTCAGAGCAGGCAGATCAGAGTGGAATCTGGTGTATTTTTTTGCTGCTGGGATGGTGTTCCACGTCTTTGAAAGAGGTAGTTATTTTAACAATTGATTTTGACATTTTTTACATCACCTTCTTTCGCCAACTTGCCTTTTCTTTGATCTCCATCAAAATATCACAGCTCATGGGTGGTTTCTAAAACACGCTTCAATAACCATGTCACATTGGAAGTCTCTTGAATCTCCTTTTATCCCTATCTCACATTTGAACATAAGCACCTCTTCTTCATCCCATCTCAATGTATAAATGTGAGAAGTTGATTTATGTGATTGGCAGATAGTATGTGTTTATTAGCGGTTAAGTGAGAAAAGTGTTTTAACCTTAGTCCAAACTTTAAACCTAATTATGAGCCACATTCAGGTCAGTTTCTCTTGTATGATTCTCAGACTAAGACACGGAGGGACACAATGTACATTTCTCTCAAGCGATCCTTTAATCTGTGCTGATAATTTTTTAAATGCAAGCTTTTATATAACCTTTTTTATAAAAACAAGATACAAAACCGTTGTTTTCTGTCTCCCTATCTGGAACATGATACCTCCTGTTTACCACTTGAGTGCTGTAACCCCCCCAGCCCACGATGTGAGGGTAACCACCCTGTGACGATCTGTGAATGCCATTTGCTGACATTCTGTCACCAAATAAAATCTTTCCGCTTCCTTGCTTTTGAAGCTGGAATAAGGGGATCCAATTTGCATGCAGAATTCAAACCTCCCTCTGCCTGGGAAGCTCAAACGAAAGGAGTAGACACCGGACAAAGGATGGAATGGGATGCTGCCCTGTTGCTATGACAACCACCGGAATGTACAGGCTGGATCGTGCTAGGAGAAAAAAAAAATCTGAGATTATGTAAGGAGGAAAAAACATTAAATGAGGTCTAATAAGTGAATCTGCACAATAGACATCCAGGTCATACACAGCTTTAAGATTCATGTCAGTTGGATTCACTTACACAATTACATTAAATAAAAACTTTTTAAAAACACATTTACCTCACATCATTTAGGAATCTTTAACAATAACAAATATTGCATAAAAGATCTGGTCAAATTATTTTTTGCATTTTAAGGGTTGCATTGCAGTTGTCAGTTTAACTATATTAAATTGTTTCCTTTCTTGTCTGTGTTGTTGTGTAAAAAATCATGCTGGTTCAAACCAGTGCAGGCTCTTCTCCTGTGTGAATCATACAAGGAGGATATCTGTGCAGCAAAATCATGACTTGCAGAGGATTTTTTGGAATATGTCAGCATCTTGTTTTGTGCAAAAATGCTGCAGATGAAGGAGATGTGCAGTTCTCCCAGGGCTTCCTTCTTATAAAGAAATGTAAAGAATGCAGTTATTAACTGTAGTAAACAATAAAAGGGCTAATTAATGTCATTTGGGTTTGAATTTGTTTTGCATTGATAAAAAACAGATTATATGTACGTCCCACAAAAATATTATACCTATCTTCTCTCTGGGTAAACATTTTCCATTGCGCACATTATTTCTTAACCAACCTGTTCTGCCAGGGAAGAAACAAAATGCAAAACAAACTACAGAGGCTGTGAGTGTGCATCACTATTTTTAAGCAGGCAGATTCTGTAAGATACAAGAGGATTCTAATCATCTGAGAGCTCATGTGTGATTGGGCTAAAGCTAAATACCGTTCCGCCTCTCACCCTTACCTGAGGAGTGATTGGTCCTGTGTTTGCATGACACAGTGCCACAGTTTTTAATGTAGTGCTCATAACTATGATAAAGTCTTCCTTTTCTTTTGTAAAACCAAGGTCAGTGTTTTCTTCTTCTTTACATTAGGCAAACTAGTAGTAAAAAGAAAAAGGAAAAGTACTGTTTTCAAAGGATTTAGGAGAAAAAATTCACAAGCTGTGAGAGGTGTTAACTGCATGTTCTGGCAGTTATTAATGACCTACTTGGACTACTGAGCTGGATTTACACTCCTCTCACTTGAATAACTTTTTCTTCAACCCAATCAACCAACCGTTTTTCTGCTTTTGTTTGCCTTTTCACTAAAACAAATTGCCCATCCTGCAGGAATCTGAAATTAACCTCAAGGACCTTTGTTCATTAATTGTTCCAGTCACAAGCATTTCTGTTCAGTGCAGTTCTAACAGTTTGTGCTCTCAGGCTTTGAATGGCTTGTTGAGTGATGCCAGTACTTCCAATTCATAAGTTGCCCTCCCCTCCCCTGATGAGATCCTGCTGGTTCATCTACACGGGCAGCCATTCCAGTCCACAAAACAAAGAAGGGCCCCCAACCTCCACCAGTCTAGTTTTTTGGTAATTTGCCATTTCATAATCAGACACTCCTTTAAAGTCAAACCTATCCATGTAAACATACATAATTATATATATTTTTTTAGACCAGCACAAAGTAATGCTCAACTGGTAAGTAAAAACTACAAATAAGGCATATTTAAAAAAAACAAAAAACAAACTGTGAGCACATTTTGAGAAATGGTGTACAGATCTTTTCAGTTCCAATTAGTCAGACACATTTTAACCAAAATCAAGTGCAATCAGTTACAGACATTTCATAGAGGCTTCCCCGGTTTGTAGGAAAGCAGTAAGCAAAAGACTAAGGAACTTAATAGACTGGTAAAGCTTGGTTCATGTTCAATTTACATCAGTTTCGCCTTTTTCATCCCTCTGTGTAGAGTCTGTGAGGACAGAATTTCCGCACCGAGCATCAAGGGAAATTTATAATGCAGACAGATCTAGGTGAAAAAGCTGTAAGTGAGCAACAGCTACTACTAGCAAGGGTTTGCAAATGTTAATATCTGGAGACATAGTGAGCCGTCAAGTGATTTGCAACCACACACATCAAATGTCGCTCGGGTCTGGTCGCAAACCAGTTTTGCCGGTATGCTTCTGCTTCTGCTGTTGGTCTGGAATTCGTAGGGACGCACAGCAGTTTCCCGCCAAAGCACAAGAGGGAGCCTATTAGAGAAATCGCAAGCACTTCGACGGATTGTGCTTCCCAACCTCCTCGATTAAACTTTCATCGTAGTTGTCCATTGTAGTTGTTCCTCTGTTTTTAAAAATGGCATGCCCCAGCACCAAATCGAGAAGGACGACCACACAGAAAGTCGGAAAGGCATACCAAGGTTCAATCACAGCTGCTTTTGTCTGTGCACTTCCACTTGAGGTCTGTGTGGGGTTGTGACCGTCCGACATATAGTCAGGATTTTTCTGAGGTGCGTGACGGCTGTTGTAGAACCTCTGCGTGGGTGGCGTGGTCGCGCATAGAGACAGTTTTGATGGTAGCAGAGGCTATGCATCAAAAGCATAAACTGGCCTTTAGTCAACCAAGTCTGGCTTAATTTGTTTACATTTGTGTTTGGGGGGCATGCACTGTTCTTTCACTGTATGATCCAATGCACTGGTTGGACTCAATTCGT